TGCATGCATGCATGCATGCACGCAGCTGCACCCATCGCCCGCTTTGATGAGCTTCAGCGCACGGCGGTCAGACTGCCTTTGGCATGCCTACAGGTCCCAGATGCGCCTAGGCGCGCTAGACTTTCCGTGCACACGCAGAGCAAAGCAGAGCACGGCGAAGGTCATGCATCCATTCCTTCCACCGTGCCTGAGGTGCAGGCAGCATCTTGAAATAAGGACGACATTGCCGTCGTATCATGCTGCATTGCAGGGACGTGCAAGGCAAGTCGGTACGGTGAAGTGCCCCCTGTCGCGGCTGGATCGACAGGCAACGAGGGGCGGGCGCGCGATTGACTTGCAGTGCAGGACCTGTCTCAATCTACGCACCACGGCGTCGTCGCTCGATCACGATCGAGCAGCTGCTGCTGTAGCCAAAAGCAAGCAAGCAAGCAGCAAGCAGTTGCTAGCGCAAGCGGGCGTCTACAGCAGTACCGGTCAGCGAGCCCCCTTATTTGAACACCGCGCCGTTCCTGTCCATTCCCCTAGAAGGAGTAGCCATGTCTTGGTACTTCTTGGCTCGAGATCGGAGAGACGCTAGTCGGTGCTGGCTGTGGATTTAGCAATCACGAATGGTTCGTTGAGCGTGGGGCTTCGTTGTACCGTGAGGTGCGGGAAGTAGTTGCTAGTAGCCGCTTCCTTGCTGCCTATGCGACGAGCCCGGCCGAGAGAGACAAGTGGGAGGGAGAGAGAGCAACAAGGTGCGTGCGGCCGATTCCATGGCCGGTCGGAGCTGCTGCTGGCTGGCCCTTCAAAAGTCTGCTCGTCTATCGACCGCACAATGCCGAGTGAATGTAATCGATGAAATGCGACGTCGTCGAGCGGCTTACCGGTCGGGGCTGCTACTACAGTACTGCTGGCAAAGATTTCCTCGGCACGGCCACGGCAAAGGTCAACCCGTGGATGCCCCGATGCGTGGTGCAGTACAGTACAGTAGTGGAGCTGGCAGGCAAACACGCAGAAGAAAGTTTTCGCATTCGGATCGCGTGTGGCGGCATTGCACCAAATGACCGAATTGTGCCGCTGACTGCTATTGAATTTCGGATGTCCATCATACGGGCATGTTTGCTCTGTCAACCTCAATGCCTGCGCTTCAAGACCCTTGACTGACAGGGTGCCGTCCGACTCGATAGAATGCTGCATGATTTGAGAGAGAGAGTGGGGGAAAAGGTACGCAGACACCTCCGCTACCAATTTGGATCGCTCCAAATGAGACGCAGGGGAGAGCCAAGCTTCGAACGGGTGCCCAAGGAGCCAACGCAGACGTGTCGGCATTAATCTTTCGATTCCCGTGCGTGATTTGCGAGACTTCTCAAGTGCCGAGATAGCTCTCTCATGTCTCGCCACGGGTCTAGGATTGCTCGGCGCCGCTCACTGCAGATGTCGATATGATGATGCTGCAGACGTGGGTGCAGCATGTCCGCTCTAAACCGAACGGTCGACCGGCCGAGCTGCCTGCAGACCGCATCTTGACACCTCTGCTGTTCCGCCCAATTGCGCTATCTCCCTGGCGGCTGCAGGTGCGCGCTTGCTCGATTTTGAGTGACGGTCGGTGGCCCTCACCAGCTAGATTGGGGCACACGGCGAGTGTAGAGGCGGAGGCCCTCCGGCAGAATCTACTCTGCAACTGCGCGTGCGCTCGACGGGTCTCAGCCGTTGACTGCGTAGGCGCGCAAGCTGCCGCGGACCCCTGAGCCCAACCAACCAACAAGCGCCGCGCGCGAAGCATTCCTCTCTCCGCTATTCAAAAGGTCAGAAGGCGGTCCTCCTTCGGCTGATTGCGAACCTACCCCTCCCCCCACGGTCAGCTCTGCACCTTCCCGACCTCAACCTCCTCCGACCTTCACCCAACCGACACTTCCTCCTCACCCTTCTTCCTACTCTTCACACTGGGCTTTCGAGTCTGTTAAGACAGCTGGATTTGCTATCTTGACACACCTCCATCCCTCCCGATAACCATCTTCAGGTCATCGGTGCTCGATCACATTTTAACCTCACTCATAATCTTTTGACCGTCTTATCGCATATACACACACGTACAGCGACTTGCAAACATGTCTGATTACGAGAAGGGGGGCGAAGCTCCATCGGAGGAGTACCAACAACTCATCCAGTTCATTCGTGACCAGAAGTCCAGCTCTGGTGACGAAGAGGTCGACGATGGATCGCGCGTCGTCAAGAAGCGCTCCCTCCTGACGCCATGGAAGACGCGCCAGGTTCGCGTTAACAAGGAAGGTGAAGAGGAGGAGGTTGCCGCCAAGGTTCCTCCCTCTTGGTGAGTATAATGTGCAGCACGCTTTTGGCCGGGCTTCGCATCCGGCCTCTCCACCACCGCTCCTATGCTCACTCGACCCACTCTTTTGATCACGTTCAGGCTCGAGACTGATATGTCTCAAGGTGTATCGGAGGCCGAAGTCCACAAACGTCGTCAGATCTTCGGCTTCAATGAGCTCGAGAGTCCCCACGAAAACTTGTTCCTCAAATTCCTCGGTTTCTTCAAGGGCCCAGTTCTCTACGGTGAGTACCACTGGCTAGAGTGGGACACGTCGCTCCCCATTGTCGTCTGCGCTCCGCCAAGATCCGGCCAGATTCGAAAGGATGGCGACGTTTTTCGTGGGGCCGACGGTCAACCACCTGGCGCGCGCGCGGGCGCGCGGGCGCGCGAAAAGAGCACGTGCGCACGGCTTGCTGAAAGACTTGCGGGCTGCTGACGTGCCGCGCGCCTGCGCGCCCCATGATTACGCGCCAACGCGGTCCGGACCAAGCATTTGTTGCTTCTGAAGGAATTCCGCTTACATGCTTCGTCCGCTTTGCCCTGTAGTCATGGAGCTGGCTGTCATCCTGGCTGCTGGTCTCCGTGAATGGATCGACTTTGGTGTCATCATCGGTATTCTTATGCTCAACGCTTTCGTCGGTTGGTACCAGGAGAAGCAAGCTGGTGACATCGTCGCTCAACTCAAGGCCGGCATTGCCCTCAAGACCACCGTCGTTCGCGGCGGTCAGGAGCATGACATCGAAGCACGTGACTTGGTTCCCGGTGACATTGTCGTCGTTGAGGATGGTATGACCATTCCTTGCGACGGTCGTCTTCTTGCCGACTACGAGGACAAAGACTTGAGCGGTGCTAACAAGATTCGCGAGAAGATGGAAGCTTCCCGTCGCGCTGGCGCCGGTGAAGGCGAGGACGATGAAGGTATCGACAAGGGCCCTGCAATCATCGCTTGCGACCAGTCCGCCATCACCGGAGAGTCTCTCGCTGTCGACAAGCACATTGGTGACACCGTCTTCTACACCACTGGATGCAAGCGAGGAAAGGCGTACATTCTCTGCACTGACATTGCCAAGCAAACCTTTGTTGGCCGCACCGCTGCTCTCGTTCTCGGTGGCTCTCAGACCAAGGGGCACTTCCAAATCGTCATGGACTCCATCGGTGGTGTTCTTCTCGTCCTCGTCATCGTCTTCATCCTGATGTTCTGGATCTCGGGCTTCTTCCGTGGTACCGGTATCGCTACTCCTCGGGACAACAACTTGCTCATCTACTCGCTCATTTTCCTGGTCATTGGTGTCCCCGTTGGTCTTCCTTGTGTTACCACCACCACCATGGCTGTCGGTGCAGCTTACCTTGCTAGACGCCAAGCAATCGTTCAGAAGCTCACTGCCATCGAGTCTCTTGCTGGTGTGGACGTTCTTTGCTCCGACAAGACCGGTACGCTCACGGCCAATAAGCTGTCCATCCACGAGCCTTTCACTTCCGAGGGTGTTGACCCCAACTGGATGATGGCTGTCGCCGCTCTCGCCTCGTCGCACAACGTCAAGTCTCTTGACCCCATCGACAAGGTCACGATCTCGACTCTCCGCGACTACCCTGGTGCCATCGAGGAGCTCGGCAAGGGCTGGATCACTCACAAGTTCACTCCTTTCGACCCCGTTTCTAAGCGTATTACTTCCGAAGTTGAGAAGGACGGTATTCAATACACCGCTGCTAAGGGCGCCCCCAACGCCATCCTCAAGCTCTGTGCACCTGAAAAGGAGACCGCTGACCAGTACCGCAAGGTCGCTGCCGACTTCGCTTCCCGTGGTTTCCGTTCGCTCGGTGTGGCGATCAAGGAAGGCAACAACAGATGGCAACTTCTCGGTCTGCTGCCCATGTTCGACCCCCCTCGCTCCGACACTGCCGCTACTATCGCCGAGGCTCAAACGCTTGGTGTTTCGGTCAAGATGCTTACTGGTGACGCCGTCGCAATTGCAAAGGAGACCTGCAAGATGCTTGCTCTCGGAACCAAGGTCTACGACTCTCACCGTCTCATTGGCTCCGGTGGTATGAGCGGCTCTGCTATCCACGACTTCGTCGAGGCTGCAGATGGTTTCGCTGAGGTTTTCCCCGAGCACAAGTACCAAGTCGTGGAGATGCTGCAGCACCGTGGACACTTGACTGCCATGACTGGTGATGGTGTGAACGACGCCCCGTCTCTCAAGAAGGCCGATTGCGGTATTGCCGTCGAAGGTGCTTCCGATGCTGCTCGTTCCGCTGCCGATGTCGTCTTCCTCGACGAAGGTCTGTCCACCATCATCACCTCGATCAAGGTCGCTCGCCAGATTTTCCATCGTATGAAGGCTTACATTCAGTACCGTATCTCGCTCTGCTTGCACCTTGAGATCTACTTGGTCTTGTCCATCATCATTCTCGACGAGACCATCCGCGCCGACCTGATTGTCTTCATTGCCCTCTTCGCCGATCTTGCCACCATCGCTATCGCCTACGACAATGCTCCCGCAGCTCGTGCACCTGTCGAGTGGCAGCTTCCTCGTATTTGGATCATCTCGACCATTCTCGGTATCTTGCTTGCCATCTCCACCTGGATCATCCGCGGTACCCTGTTCATCGAGGGATCCGGCGAGAGCGGCGGCATCATCGCCAACTTCGGTAACACGCAAGAAATTCTCTTCCTCCAGGTCTCTCTTGTCGAGAACTGGCTCATCTTCGTTACCCGTCTTGGCGGTGGTGAGTCTGACATCACCCTGCCATCTTGGCAACTTGTTGGTGCCGTTGCTGGTGTGGACGCCATCTCGACCATCTTCTGCTTGTTCGGCTGGCTCTCCGGTGCCCCTAACCGTAACCCCATCACCGCTCCTCACGGTGGATGGACCGACATCGTTACCGTTGTCCGTGTCTGGGCCTACTCCTTCGGTGTCATGGTCGTCATTACGCTCGTCTACTTCATCCTCAACCGAATCTCTTGGCTCGAGAACCTCGGCAGACGCCAGCGTGCCCACAAGTCTCCTCTCCTCGAGGACTTCATGATGTCCTTGCAAAGGCTCACCATTGTCCACGAGAAGGCGGCCAAGGAGGGCGAGAACGACGTCTACTCCTTCGCTCAACGTCTCGAGATCGAGGACGAGTAAAGGTCGGCGCACCAATCACAACGATGACATTCGACTCCTCCCTGCAACGTTTTCCACTATTGTGCCAATGCGCACTTGTACTGCAAGCCCGCCTCCGAAACGATCACCAACTACTCACCTTCCCTCCTTCTGCACCCTGACATTTGGTCCATCGCCAACATTTCCCCACAGCACACCCATTCTACTCTAATACCTAACAAGGGTGCAAATGCAACATGAGAACGGACGTCTTGGTTTTCAGTTCCGGGCTTGAAACACGCGTCGGTGACACTTTCCCCTCCGGACCCACAAAGTTACCCCGGGGATTGTCACGACGTCGAGCTCGAACGCGATCCACCTCGGCCACGGGAAAACCTCCCCCCTTCCGTGGCTTCTCCCAACATGTCTGCCTATTACACACTTGCGGTTGCGTTGCCGATGCTCCGTCAATTCTAGATGGTTTTCGCTCCGAATAAAAAACATCGCTTCGCCCCTCATCTCGCTTTCGCCCCCCTCCAATCCATATCCGATGGCCGACTTTTTACCAGCGCCTGTCCATCCATTTCCCCCTTTTCTACTTTTGTCCTCACCACACACTCATTTTGTTTGCGCTCCCGACTCGTGATTCGAGCTCTGGCAATCTAGATGTGGCCTGTCGAAAGGCAGCGCCCTAATTATCCGAACCGTCGTCAGCTGTCTACTCAGGAACTAGTGTGCGTGATGCGTGGGGCCGAATCGGGCATGCATGGTGAGTCGCGATGGTCACAATCTTGGACCGGACGAGCAAGCAGATTTGCACAGGGACCTCACCTGTCGACCGAGTCTGAGAGCAACAGCGCCTGTTGCGATGCGCTGGACAGGACTGTTGCAGGCTCAGCTGCAGTGCTCGCCATATGTGTGGAGAGATCGACGGGATGCGGCAGAGAGGACGGCAATGCGAAAGAAATCGCAATTGAACATCTTTGGGC